GTAGTCTTTGGCAAAGCCAACTGGTTTTGCTGTTGTGCTTCTGTTATGTAATTTAATTTAGAAGTATGTTTAAACATTGTGTTGCTCTAACAAATGTATGGTAAGGAAAAAATTTCCATGATTTTGTCAGTTAAACCATAGAATTAGTGTAATATCTAGTTGTATATTCTTATGGTATTGTATGTAACCGTATTAATGTAAGCTCAAGAAGGGCAACTATATCTTTGTTATATCTGTTCCTCCGACGAGGCATTTTCGGTACTGGAACTTTTGGTACTGGAAGTCAATGGAAAAGCAAAAGTACCAAAGTACCCTAACAAAATACGGTACTTGGTGCAGTGGAAAAGCACCCTAACTGAATAGTATAAGATCTAGAGGTTTGTAAACTTTAGTAGCAGTATAAGATCTAATGGTATAAATACAGTCGACTCTTCCACATCTAGGGGGTTAGTGGCGTAGGCCTCCCTCAATCTGGAAGAACGTTTTGGTCCCCTTGGTGAGCAAAGCAAGCATTCAGTCAGAGCAAAGGAAAAAGATGCAAGAAATGCGAGATGCAAACATCTCACGAGAGGGGCTGCCAAGAGCACACTTGGTGTCATCCAAACCAGCACTGTACGTATATTTTTGATTCACTAAACTTTTTTTGTCAGTAGCATTTTTTCCAAAACTTCCAAAAACACCAAAAAAAATCCCATTTCATTTCTTATGCCAACCTTGCAATACATCGAAACCACTACAGGGAAAGTTCAGAAGGGTCAACTGTAGTAAACTCTAGTAGCACTGTAATATCTAGCTGTATACACAAAGTCTGGGAGCAGTGTAATGCCTTGCAGTATAAATGGCAAATTCTAGTAGCAGTGTAATATCTAGCTGTATAAATGGAAAACTCTAGTAGCAGTGTAATATCTAGCTGTATAAATGGAAAACTCTAGTAGCAGTGTAATATCTAGCTGTATAAATGGAAAACTATAGTAACAGTGTAATATCTAGCTGTATAAATGGCAAACTCTAGTAGCAGTGTAATATCTAGCTGTATAAATGGCAAATTCTAGTAGCAGCGTAATATCTAGCTGTATAAATGGCAAATTCTAGTAGCAGCGTAATATCTAGCTGTATAAATGGCAAACTTTGATAGCCGTATATTATTTCACACTTAACGCCGGGCTTCCCACCCCCACCCCAGCAGTCCAGCTCCCACCTTGATGAGAATGGCTGGGATATTTACTGGGAAGCCCCCCTCCCCCTTTCTCTCCCAGGCCCTGCCCTGGAGGGACATGCAGACTGGGAACACTCACACACACACACACACACACACACGCACACAGGTTTGCAGTTATATCTTTGTGGAGACTCTCCATTCATTTCTATGGGGAAAACTCTAAACCCAATATGATGACTTTAACCCCTATCCAACCTTAACCATAAGTAACCAAACAGAATATGAGACTTTTGGCATTTTTAGTTTTTTGATTGCCTTCAACAGATCTTTGTGGGAACCTGAAAAAATGGTCCCCACAACGTCAAAATAACAAGTTTTTATGACATTGTGGGGGACATTGCAGACACACATACACACTCACACACTCCCGTGAAGATTAGCAGTGCATTCTACCCGGGGCTTGAATGACAATAGCGCGTATGACAGGCTTTTTGAGCGCTGCAGAATCAAAGCGCCGTTAGCATTAGCAGACCATTCTGCCCTCCCAGTGGGCCAGTTATGCAGAAATGCCCACCCCCCTCACCCCCCCCCCCCCCATCAGCAATTTGTTTTGCAAACAAGGCTCTCTTTTTGTTTTCACTGCTGGGCTCTGAATTGCTGGTGGGGGTTTGGGTTCTGGGCTCTGAGCTCTACACTGGAAGTGCCACCCTGGGCACGCCCAGGTCTTTGGTGTCCGTTTCTAAGGACTGGGGCTTCTGGAGGAAGAAGCGGGTGAACTTCAGAGGGAGGCCGCAGGCTGATGGTTTTCAGTAACAGACCCTCAGTCCCCTTTACAGCGGCGCCTGGCAGCCAGGTAATGCAGCTTCATCCAGTCCCACCCGAAGGGGGGAGAGAGCCCCGACTGAACCACTTTGAAACGCTTTGCGACATTATGTTTTATTTGATGTATTGATTAATTGCAGGTGGTGCAGGCTGTTGCTGAGTGGGTTAGGACTCTGTGTCTGTGATCAGAAAGTCGCTACTTCAAATGCCAGGGCTGGCAGTGATTTCATGGTCGGGTCCCTTTGTGAGGACCTTTACCCCCAGCTGCTCCAGGGGCTGGTTGACCCAGAAAAATGCACGTTGCTTTGAATTTGAAGTTTCTGATAGATAAATAAATAAATAAATAAATACAATGTAAATTCTTATTAATGGCTGTTTAAGTGTTATTTTAAATGTACATATTAAAGGAATTCGCGTGATTTATTTTCAGTCCGAGCAGTTGCTTTGACAGAGACTTAATGTTTGATTAGCTGAAAAATCAACTAATTGGGTGATTGACAGTTTGAGTCTCCTGTCTCCTCTCCTCTCTGGCAGGTTCTGATTATGTCTACAAGGCTGCTGAGACCCTCAGATATCCTGGAGTTGCTCTTCACCACGGACCACCTACACCCCGACATTGGAGTATGACGGCAGCCAGGACGCAGACCACGTTCTAGAAAGTTCAGTCAATCACATGGGCACAGTTTTGTAGATTTACTTGCATACACGTGTGCATATACAAATACCAACATACAGTCACACATACAGGGTGTGTCCAGACCTGCTGTCAGCTTTGGACCCAAAGCATTAGTTTGTACAGAACTTGGACTTTGGGCTGCTTTTGAACTTTCTGGAATCTCTTCCCTCTGTGGGAATTCCTGATACCTGACATCTGTATGTGGCTCTAGATCCAACATCGAAAGCCAGAGCTACTGTCCGTGGCATGCATCCCGGCTGTCTCCAGACCAGGTTTATAAATCCCACTGGAAAGTTCCAGAAGCCAGAGCCCAGCTCAACACCGGCCACACTCCAGGCAGCAAGGCTGCCTTTCCCTATTGGCTACAGCCAACCAATCACATGTGTCGACAATAAACCTGTTCTGGTCTCTCTTCTCTCCATTTCATGAATTTGTTGCAGTGGCCCTGACCTTCACGCGGTCCGACAGGAAGGCAGTCTCGCCGCAATGCATCCCCGATAACTGCGGCCCACATGTCTTGCTCGTTACGCTTCATTACGGGTCATTAGCTCCACTGACACCCACCAACGCCATTCTTCTCATGTGCTGTGAAAGGGGCGGGATTTGCAAAACCATTCGCACCCACCTGAGTGCCCTGCCCTGATTGGCCATCCTTCCTGTGTGGGCTGGGGGAGGGGCTATGCTGTCTGGAAGGCGAGGATGAGGTCTCATATCAAGCTGGCATGGTTGCTATGGTCAAAGAAGAGCTGTACCACCATTTAGTCTGTTAACCCGCAGTTCCAAGTCCTGCTCTTTGATAAATGTGTGTGAGATGGACTGGATTTCATAAGCTCCGATGACCCCATGGTTTGTTGGGTGGGGTTACCTAGATTAAAGTGCTGCAGATGGAGTAAAAGTGCCCCCCACCCCCACTTTAAAGCAAGGCAAACACATGATCCAGGGACCATGTTAATGTGCCCAGCAGCAATTATTTAAATATCCGACTGGGGCATTTGTCCACGCAGCTCAGAATTTCCACATTTAGATTGTTTTCCATCAGTTGTTTTCCAGAACTTTCCTAGACTGTCTACCGTCGTGACATTTACGTTACGTGATGCTGGCTTCATTTGAGTGCTTTTTTACTTAGCTCTATTACCGAAGTGTGAGAAATGACCTCACCCCCTGGGCCCCCACGTACTGGTCCAGGCCTCTTTGTCGAGAACCCCGGGAGGGAAGCTTCACAAATACCTGTGTGATTTTAATGGTAATTCATACCGGTTTAATAAGGTAATTCAGGTGAAATGTCTCACTCAGGGTACAACAGCAGCTCCCCAAACAGATGCCAAATGCCTCGGCTGGAATTCAATACACGGGCCTAATGAAACGGCAGGCCCCTTTGTTCGAAAGCCTCTGGGCCCCGACCCATTGCAACGTCCTGCTGTTAAATTGATCTGGTCATAAATTCCTAAACCACTAACATCCCAGCCCACTGCTCCTCTCCATCCACGCCTGCTTCCAGTGCCGAGGCAGGAGGACACCAGGAACCAGCAGCAGAGAGGTGGAGCTTCTCACCAGGTATAGCTGAGCGGTCCAACCCCTGGATTCGCATCCCAAACACTGCAGGCTTAGTGATTACGAGGTTCACGCACATCTTCTCACTCAAATCAAGGTATGTAGCTGTAGGTTGCGTGACAGTGAAGATTGAGGTTTGTCAGGTGTCTGATCAATCAGGAACATGAACATTAAGCCTGCCCTACAGTGACCCCAAACACTGAAAGTTAACCTCCTACTAGTGACAGTAGGTGACTTGTGGGCCACTCACTCTATGGCAATCTGTCACCGGAGGTGGTGGTACCACAAGAGTCCTTACGTGTCTCAGCATCAATAACTCTGCTCACCTGGTTCATAGGTTCTTATGTCTGAAGTTACCATCAGGGGCCAGTGGCATAGTGGAAGCTACCATTGAAATAGTACAGTACAAACTATCCAGGTCAGAGTATTTGCTATTTGTGGTAGTTATTTGTGGTGGCTGCGTATTGAGTCAGTGTAAGTTTAGAAGATGGTATTACTGTGTATGTAGTAAACCCCAACCCCTGGTGGTGGTAACGTTAGATCCCTTCACGCTGGAGGAAGGAAATGCAGCAGGCAGAGACCAGACACCAAATGAGAGAAGCCAGCAGCATTCAGAAAGTCACCTTTATTCCAGGTGCAAACCCCACCAAGGACTCTGCTGGAGCAAAATAAATAAATCACCACAATAACTACTTCAGCATTTCATAAAGTGCATCAGATTTCTGCTCACCAGCACATCCCACCAAATACCTCCCCCCCCCCCCCTAACCTAATCCCTCCCCTCGAAGAACTAATCAGACCCCCCCCAAAAAAAAAAAAAAAAGAACATCAAAAAAGGTGGATTATGGGACAGGGGCACAGCCCAGAGCAGACTTCAGGCTGAGGTGTGCCTCTTATAAAGCAGACTTGACACCAATCAGGAGGAGAGGCATCTGCCTTCCCACTCATCAGGCTGCCAAGGACTGCAGTTCTGCTTTCAGAGTACATCCTGTCTGCGGACTTCCCTTTAAATCTGTATCTGCTCTTTCCACATGGCAGAGGAGAGCTGCTTGTCAATGGATGGCAGAGTCTCCTCCCTGAAAATCCAGCAGTTTCCCAGGAGTCAGAGGGAGTTTAGGCAGTCGCAGCTGTAGGATGTATGACTCATTCCACTTCAACAGGAAGTGACACGGTAGTCAGGCACAATGAGCACCTCACACGGAGGTGGCCGTGCGAACCTTGGCCGACAGCACCTGTCTGAAACGCCGCTTCAGGTCCTGCATGTTGGGTGACTTGGGGCGTGGCAAAAGCTGCGAACGCCTCTTCTCCGCTGTGCCAGCAGGGGGTGCCTGCTTGCCCAGCTCCCTGCAAAGCAGGTGGAAGGCACTGCACACCTGGCCATCACCCTCACTGGCGGACACCTCGCAGAAGGCACAGCCTAGTGTAGCGGCCAGCAGGAGGCCCCTCTGAGTGTCCACCTGCCGCACGTGGAGCAGGTCCACCTTATTAGCCAGGATCACAATGGGCACACGGGCATCTGGCCGGCAGGTGCGCACATGCTGGTGCAGCTGGGCAATCAGGTCAAAGCTCCGGTCGACTGTCACAGAGTAGACCAGGACCACAGCGTCTGCCCATTGGATGGAACGGGTCACCTGATCTGTGACACAGAGTGTGGTTCCTGCCTCCTGAGGCAAAAGAAATGGGTGGTTTATAAAACATCTATTCCGAGAACATTTAGTACATATATACCTACAATTAGACGATTTGCAATTCACATTTAGCAGCCTTTAATCCAAGGCAAGTACCATATTACAAACATACGTGCTGTCAAGGAGTCGACTAAGCATTAATGCGGCTAAGCTGAGCTTTCAGTGAATGCCCAGATACAAGTGTAAGCAGTATTAGTCAGCAGCTACACAACTTCTAACCAAGATGCTAAAACAATGGAAACTTTTTAACAGACATAAGTCCGCATTAAACGTCAGCATGCACCTTCAATCAGTAAGTGAATTGGGTACATGGAAGATGCAGAGCTTAGTGTGCAAAATGCATCCGAGTACGCAGAATTTAGTTTAGAACGCCAATTGCGCAAGGGCTGGATAGTCATTTTCGCAGTCCTACAATGGGGACCCCTCTGAGAGGTGTACTACGAGTGTATTGTTGCTTTAAGTCCCCCTCCTCCCCCGACTAACTGAGCTGCCTTTAGAAAGGCACGATCCGCTCCCCCGCGCAGTTAGAAGAGGTAATTGCCAGAGCAGTAAGAAATCCGAGGCAATCGGGTACAACAGCTCAGGCGGAACAAAAGGAAAGGCATGCAATTGGGGAGGGGAGGGGGGTTTACTCCAGCGCGTGCGAGATCGATACGAGAAGCGTTAGTTTTCAGATAAATGTCAGCGTGAGGACGTGGAAACCCGTGAAAGGCACTATAAACTTACACAATCGAGTCCTGGGGTGTCTTGCACCTGAATCGCCACTTGTTCTCCGTCAACCTGGACTTCTCTTGAGTACAGAGTACCTGTTGGATCACAATATGCATTGCATGACAGGTCAGCAAGGTCAGCCTGGCAGGACACTCGCGCTGAACGCTTGACGGCAGGAATCTGTCGGCAGGGCAGTCAGGAAAGGTTTCCCTACTTACCCGAGTTTCGCTCGTAATCACCGATGAAACGCCTAGTGAGGAATCTCACTACAAGGGCTGGCAAGAAAAATAAACAGATTGTTAAGTGAATCTATATAGATAGCCGTGTCAAAAGCTTACCGAAAAGAACGGCATCCCCGATGTGCAGCAAGCACTTTTGATAAACTCACCGGTTTTTCCAACTCCACTGCCCCCAAGGACAGCGATCTTGAGGATCCTGCCACCGGGACACTCGGTCGATGGGTATTCCGCGATAGTAGACATGTTCTGGATCAGGCGCATCTTGTCAAAATTAGCTGATTTTTAACTTTAGAGCGAAAAAGAAAATCCAGACGACGACCGGAATACGCTGTTATTTTAAAAACGTGCCAACCGATTAATCTTCAGACTTTAAAGCTGGAAGCGCGTTTATAGAAACCCGGCAGTCTTCTTCATGAGTTCATGCATGAACAGCTACTTGGTCGTACCCTCCCGAGACCGTAACAGTCAAGACTGTGTCCGATCCCAGGTCTGCTGTCTTTATAGTGGTGAAGGGCGGCTCTGCGCTGATTGGCTGCCGATCCGCTGCTGCTTTCACGTGTACCAGGGAGCCCGAACCGATCGCCAGGTAGGCAAAATGCAGCGGAGAATGGGCGAAACGGAGACGGGATTCAGCACTGGGATTCATGGCTGCACTTAGCCTTTCTGCCGTTTGCATTTAAAATACTCCCCGACTTTCTTGCAAGTGCAGACAATAAAATAATAATTAAAAAAAACCCTAGCAAAAAAAAACTTAAATATACCTGACATGAAAATGGTGCGTCAGCCTTGTCTAATTATGCTAACCGCTGGAATAGTGTTGAATATGATCTGAGATGTTGAACATGTTTGCGGTTTTCTTGAACTGATGGTAACATGACCACTTGATTCGTGTATTAAAGACATTTAATTGCTGGTAACAGAAACACAGTAACAGAAACAAGAGTGATATGCTTAGACATACAGGAACACATAGAACAGCTTACAACTTCTCTTGTTTTGAGTTGGCTTAATAAGCCATGCTACAGTATGCTCTGCAGTGTGTGACTCAGTGTGTACACAGTTCTGTCTCAGGTATGTGTGCATGAAATCAGTATTTTGCAGAGTTATGTAAGCGTGGACTTTCGGCCCAGTACTAGTGTGTTTATTCGTGCTGGACTGGGCAGGACAGGCCAGCAAGCTGGACCCCCTCCAGCCTGTCCGGACGCGCCCAGGACATGTTGGACCGAGAATACAGCCTTGCTGCTCACAGTAGGGCCAGATGGCTCTGCACATGCTCAGTACGCAGCCGACTGACGCACGGGGGTGCCGAACATCTGTCTTCAATAATGAAACCACAGATCACCTGAGAGACTTAGCAGACAGTGTTTGGTCTGTCTCCTGTCATCAGATGTCTGTATGTCTGTCTGTACTGCAGGGCTGTATGTTGGGGGGGGGCTGGTCTGTTTATCCCTCATGATTGTACTCCAGTGTTGGTGGCAGAACAAACCTGTCACCTGGGCCTCATATTTTCATGGGGGAGGGGGGTGGCATGAGTAGGGAGCAGTGGAGCAACCAGGATGCTGGGAGGGGTAGGCCAACAATAAAGGTATTCTTCGTTATTTTCTTATAGCACTATTGGGTGAACTTTTGTTTGTTTTTGTTTTTTTGGGGGGGAGGGGCAAAGGCACTGATTTTGGGGGAGCTAGACCCCCTGGTGGTGACCCGAACCCCATATCAGCTACTCACACTTCTGCTCCACCTGGGCACACAAACTTTTATGAAGTTTTTTGGCAGAGAGGTTGACCTGGAGTAACGCCCACAATATTTTTCTTACCTTCTGTGTGCCTTTGTCCTACTTTCCCCCTGCTCCTCTCCTCTCCCTCCCTCTCTCTCCCTCTCTCTCCTCTTTCACCTCGTCCTCGGGTATTTGGCATTCGCTCCTTTCTGTTATTACCCTCTGGAATGCATGTTTGATACGTTTGATACGAGCTGCGATGACAGAGCTGCCCGGTGCCTGAAATATGAAATAGACGTGTCGCCCGCCATCCACATCTGAGGCCCCCTTCGCCCCCCCAATGGGGGGGTGGGGTGTGGGGAGCATTAGTGTCCATTTTAGTGGGCATCAGCCACACAAGCCGCTGACGGCAGGATCTTACCGCTGCACAGGTGACCAGTTTGGTTTTTTCTGTTTGTTTTAATCTTATAAACTGTGCTCCAGTTGTTCTGTAGAGTCTAATATAAGACAGATATGAAATATTCCAGATGACCAGATGTGTGATTTAAAAAGCACGCCTGGTATTCTTCATACTCTACACCAGGGGTCCCCAATTATTTTTTCCAGAGGGCCAAATTCTATGAACAATACAAATCCAAGGGCTACTGCACCCGATATTGTCCTGATAAGTTCTTTAATATGCAGCTATTACTGTTATATTGTAATTATTATAGTTAGCCTTGTAGGAGCAGCAATAATAATAATGGTGGTTAGCACTGTTGTCTCATGCCTCTGGACCAGCGTTCTGGTTTGCACCCTGGCTGTATGTGTGGAGTTTGCTTGTTCCGCATTGGCGCCCCATCCTAGGTTTTTTCCTTGCCTGGTACCTGTAGCTTCCAGGATAGGCTCTGGACTCCTGCAACCCTGCATAGGACAGGCGGGTACAGAAAATGGATGGATAACAATAATAGGGGACGGTTTCACGTGGACTGGAACCCTCCTCCAGAGTTAGCAGCGGACATCTTTGCCCTTACATGTAGCTTGGGTCCATCAGCAGGCTGTGTTTTGTGGATTCGCTTATCAGGAGATATGGCTGACTACCCATCCATCCAGCTCCTAGCTGCTTATCCTGATCAGGCTCACCGAGGCGTGGCTGACCATTTCCTAGATAACTGAGGGCTGCCGTACCTCGTATCCCTGTCATGGGGGCGGGTCTCGGCGTGGCACATGTAAGTTGCATTGGTTAATGCTTGGCCCCGCCTTTGTTGTCATGGCAACATGGTTGCGTATTGGGCTACGGGAGCAAACCGTGGTCCTGCTGCGAGGTGCATGATCCTGACTCTGAATGAAGAGTCGTTACTATGAAGTGGGAATAAACATCAAACGATTGCCATTTGAAAAGAGGGTAACTGGCGGGGCATATCATTATGCTAGTGAGATGGAGAAACACAGGAAGGCGGGGGGTTATAACATAGCCAGGGGAAGGATGTGCAGAGGCTGGGGAGGGGGGGGGGATTTCTGCTATCCCCCATGCAAAAGCACTCATGGCCACCAGGTGGCGTGGTATTCAACGAGCAGCCCTTGTACACTAAAACAACAAGTACATCCAGCCAAAACTTAATAAAGGGGAGATGTGTGGCTGTGCCCATAATCAGAAGGTTTTTGGTTCAAATCCCACAGTCAACAAAGTAATTTTATAGTTGAACCGTGAGTGAGGCCTCTTAACACCCATGCTGACTCTGCTTTCTCAGGAAAATGTATGTCGCTTTGGATAAAAGCATCTAAATAAATTAAATGTAAGATGAATAAGTAATTAATACCAAATGTTACCCCTGAGCATCTACATATAAGTAATCAGCCCGTACAGGCTGAATGAGGCTGTAGTGGATCTTCATTGCAGAGACTGTGCTCTTTGATTGTCCTCTTCGTGATGCTCAGCGATCTTCCTGCTCTCCCATTTTATTTATTGACATGTTCAGGCCTCGCAGACATAATTATGTTTTCACATTCCTGGGGAGATGATCAAGTGGGCCTCTAAAAGCTGCGTGACACGCAAAGCAGGCGAGCCCCCCCTCCCACCACCCTTTATTTTCCTCTGAAATGGAAACGTTTTGGCTCAGCGGCGAGTTTTGCATACTCACACATGTCAGTGAGCTACGTTTGTATGGGTGTCTCAGGCATGCATGGAGGAATGCAGTCCCAGCCTGGTCGCAGTGCTGAACGGCACGCGATCCAGCACAGCTCCCAGATCCATGTTTTCCACCTTATTTACATTCCTGCACATGACCTGTGACTATGTGGTGCTCTCACTGTGTGGTGTGTGCAATACGGAGACTCTGTGTCTTTGATACTGTGATTCTGACAGACTATCTGTGATACTGTGACTTTGTGACAGACTCTTGCTATGTCTGTGATACTGACACTTGACAGACTATCTGTGTCTGTGATACTGTGACTTTGTGATGCAGACTCTTTCTGTGTCTGTGAACCTGTGACTCCATGACAGACTCAGTCAGGGGCGGATTAACGCACAGGCTAGATATGGCTTAAGCCTAGGGGCCCCACGTGTGCCAGCCTGCAAGGGGGCCCCCATTGGCGCGGAGTGGGGCTGGGTTGGGGGGCCCACAGACTACTGTAGCCTAGGGGCCTCCGTACACCTTAATCCGCCCCTGGACTCAGTATCTGCAATACTGTGACTCTTTGTGAAATAGACTGTGATACTGTAAATCTGTGACAGACTCTGTGATCCACAGACCACAATTCAGTAATCTTACCCCTAGACCCAAACCAGTAACTGTGAGCCTTGCTTAGATCCCTGAACTTGCTGAACTTTTCTCGAAAGTGACTGAGCACTGTCAAGCTCTCCCAGCCACCAGTGTGCATCATATCAGAGCAGGAACAAGTCTGCTCTTTGTTAAGTTATACAGGGCAGCTCTTTCAACAAAGCAATTAGCTACAGCCCCTAACCCTCTTTCTACCCTTCCAAAAATAGAATAGAACACCCCCCACCTGATTTAAAAGAACCAAACCCCCCTCCCCCTACAGGAGTCTGTGGAATGTAGACACCCCAACACACAGAGCCCAAAGCACAGCAATAAAGCCATTACTACTGCTGGAATGTGTGCACAGCGGGTCATGGCGGCTGGGGTTTCAGTCACAGGGTGGAGGTTCTTGGTGCTGTTACAGCACCACCCCGGCCCACATGGGCTCAGGTGCCAGTCCTGTTCTATGCCACTACTCTTGCAGAGGTAATGAGATGAGGTTGCTATAAATCTGATTTGGACTGCGATTGTTTTATCGAAAAAGAATTACTAAGAAAGGCACACTGTGTCAGGGGATTCCTGGGGGCAGCACAGGTCGCAATAGCTGATGCACGTTTGTGACACATTTAAATTGGAGTGAAAATCTGGGGAAAAAAGAAATTGAGTTTAGTAGTTATTCAACATCAATTTGTGACAGTGAATATGCATGTTTGGATAATCCAGCTCCCTGCTCCAGTGAACCACAGGGTAACCTTCTGGGTAATCCGGCTCCCTGCTCCAGTGAACCACAGGGTAACCTTCTGGGTAATCCGGCTCCCTGCTCCAGTG